GGAGGCTATGTATTATAAGGTTCACGATACGCTTGCTAGGCACTGATTCCTGCAAACTGTCAAACAGGGAAATGTTTTCATTCAAAGTCATGTTTGAATTTTTTTTTAATATTTTTTAAAAGTAGTCGCACCAACCAGCGTTGACGTCCGCTTTTTTTTCAAAAGAGCTTTTAAAAAAAAACTGATGGGGCACATTGCTTAAAAGTGGTGAGCTTGGAACCCAGAATTTGGACAACCCTATCAGTGTAAACTATGTACTAGGCCTTTTATTGGAACTGATTGACACTGATAAGCACAAAGGTGGACATTCATAGAGACGGACTAAATAAATCTTCATCTCGTCAACAACAACAACAAATATCATATTTGTTCAGACATATATTCAGGCAAATACGTGCGCACGTATAGAGGCTTCGAATATGTTCTAAATAAAATGCACAGAATGCGCGATAATCTGACAAGACCTGCACACGTCAAAGTATTCACATTAGAGGGTATTGCGTTGATAGCACCGAAATGCGTATTCATTGACAGTTATCTTCGGACATATGAAAGATTTAGAAGTGTAGAAGGGTAGATGGGTAATCGAACATAATATATTTATTTTTTTAAATATTCATAATAATGCAGGCGTATAATGCCAGACGTGGTTTACAACCGGCCACCGCGGACGAGTGGGACGGATATCAAATACCAGAGTATAAAACGCGCCGGCAGAAGAAGCCCTTATCAGCCGAGCTGGGCATAGACATGACATATTTAGTATACCTGCTGGCAGCCGTCATTCTATGTGGCTTGTTTCTTTGGACTTTCTCAGGAGATTCACAAAGGGGAAGGTATGCGAGTTTGAACACATAATGTATCATAAAATACAGAAACCCTGTATCGGAAATGACAATACATTCCTATAGACTTGTTTTTCAAGGTATGCTTCTCTATACTCAAACATTGTAATTATCGAGTGTCTCTTCGTGAAATTAGACCACAATACAAGCAGAAAGTTAAACATTACGAATATAGCCGACTTTTGAGATGGAGAGGATTTATAAGTGGCATCCTGTTTCCTGTATATAAATCTATATAGATATACGTCTCTACATGAGACTATATACATATGTATATATATATATATATGTGTGTGTGTGTGTGTGTGTGTGTGTGTGTGTGTATGTATGTATATATTATATATATACATATATATGTATGTATATTTATATATATGTGTGTGTGTGCGTGCGTCTGTGTGTCTGTGTGTCTGAATGTGTGTGTATGTATGTATGTATGTATGTATGTATGTATGTCTG